AAAAAAAAAAAAAAAAAAAAAATAGAAGGGAAAAGGAATTAAAATTAAAGCAAATAGCATCTTACAGGAGAACAAAGAATGCTAAAATACAGATATCTAGGCATAAAGGAGAAAAAAATGGGTATACAATTTTCCTGAAGTAGAACAGAAGGTGATTCTGGGGAGGAGGTAACTTAAGTATGAGTCCCCAAGACTTAGGACAGAATCAACCCAAGAAAACTGACGGCAATCAGTTACTCCCCACTTTGCAGCTAGATGCTGAAAATGATGGCACTGTTTCTAAATTAAGAATGCTTACTAGAAAAGAGCAGACTAGAACCTGGGTCTCAATTTCCAAGTTGATTTACATTTTTTGATTCCAAATTGACTTCTGGATGTAAGAAAATCTATATAAGATTCATACATATACAAACATTTTCATAGGACATAATTTGAAACAGATTAAAATTCAATCATGAGAAAATACCAAACTCCAATTAAGTATACTCTATAAAATAAGTAATCAACATTCATAAAAATGATGAGGTGATAAAGACAGAGGAAAAAATTGAAGGAGACTAAGAAAACAAAATGGTAAATTTGATGGGGATTCTAGATTAGATTCTCAAATATAAAAGGGTATAAAAACTAGTGAAATCTAAATAAATTCTACACTTTTGTCAATTGCATAATACCAAGATTTTTTTTTTAACATAAGTATGCCGTAGTTATGTAAAATGTTAACCTAAGGGGAGACTAGATGAAGTGCATATGGCAATTTTCTGGAGTATAAAATTATTTCCAAATTTTAAAGAGTTGAAACATTAAATTATTCAATTTCTCAGTCTTTTACTGAAATTATATATGTAAAGAAATGTTATCTAAGGTAAAACATTAAGAGTATAGTTCTGAGTAAAAAATAAAACTAGATTATTTGTTTTCTTTTTTTTTTTTTTTTTAGACAGAGTTTCGCTCTTGTCACTCAGGCTCCTGGGTTCAAGAGATTCTCCTGCCTCAGCCTCTCAAGTAGCTGGGATTATAGGTACCCGCCACCAGGCTCAGCTAATTTTTGTATTTTTTTCTTAGTAGAAACAGGGTTTTACCATGTTGGCTAGGCTGGTCTCAAAAACACCTGACCTCAAGTGATCCATCCGCCTTGGCCTCCCAAAGTGCTGGGATTACAGGCATGAGTCACCATGTCCAACAAAATGAGATGATTGTTAACAGCACAATATGCACTCACTTTTATACAACATCTCTGAGATTACTTACTTGATAAATTTTAAAAGTTGGTCAGTTATCTTTTTAGCTGATCTTGCAATTACACTCTCAGGTTCATTAAATGTTCTGGCATTATGTTCTATATATCTGACTTCCCAAACTAACGCAGACAGCCTCCTTCAAAATAAAGTAAATAATTTTGGCTTAGAAAATGAGAAGATAGGAACCAAGTGAAAAAAATGCAGCATGTGAATTAAACAACTGTGAAGTATTTATTAAACCGTAAGTGCAAAGTTATAATGAATAACATTCTAATGCTCTCAACAACTTAAGCATAGTCATAAGTAATTACGTTGGACACCAAAGCGATTATACTGAACTGAAGAAGGTAATCTGGGGACAAAAATGTTAACAAACTACTTAATCGCATACAGAAAACCAACAAAACTATCTTCCCTTTTCACATTGCATATAGGTACCTTTTAAAATTGCTGAATCTCAATAAAGACAATATGTTAAATATCATCAACACTAAAAGCTGGCCCAGCAAGGTGGCTCACACCTGTAATCCCAACACTTTGGTGGGCCAAAGCAGTAGGACAGCATGAGCCCAGGGGTTCAAGACCAGCCTGGACAACACGGCAAAACCCCATCTTTACCAAAAATAAAAATAAATTTGTTAGGCATACTGGTATGCACCTGTTGTCCCAGCTACTCAAGAGGCTGAAGTGGGAGGACTGCTTGAGCCTGGCAGATTGAGGCTACAATGAGCTATCATCACACCACTATACTCCAGCCTGAGTGATGGCACAAGACCCTATCTCAAAAACAAACAAAAGCTTCAGTCTCACTGTAAACTGATCAAGTGGTTTCTGATTCAAATGCATATTCCACTATTAGATTACAGAGATAAATTACACCAATAATGTGGACTCAAGATGACTTTTCATAATCTCTTAAAGTAGCTGAATTATAAAAAAATAAAATACCATCAACTGCTATAAAAATCATTAAGAATAGGAAATTTACTTACCAGTGCTCTAGAAGCCAAAGATAAAAAGTCAGTGCCTCTGGGAAATTAATCTTCCAAAGGCCAAAGAGATCAAGTATAAACTATGTAAATATTATTTTTAAATGTAGTTAAATATAAATTTAAACATACGAAGAAAAAACAACACAATATCTAACAACTTAACAAAATTACTAAGAAAAACAGATTACTAAAGATTGAGGCGTTGTTGAAGCCCTGACTCTGACCCTCCTTTTTCCAGGACTCACCAGTCCCACAACCCTCAGCCTCCTTCTGATGTCGAATGTGAGAGCCTGGGCTTAAATAAGAAATCAGACTTTACTAGAGACACTCAAGCAAAGGGTGAACTAGTACTTTCCAGAGCAGAAAGGAAACTCATGCATCAGAAAGGCCAGAAGTATATGGCTATATAAGTAAAAGAATCTAGTCAGAACAGTTTAAGGAATTTCCTGGGCCTATAGAAACCTGCTTTTTGGACTGTGTTAAAGACTTTACAACTAAAGCCTGGAGAGACCATCTGTTCAGAACACTGCTTGTAGAAATATATTTTTTTGAACTTTTAAGTTCAGGGGTACAGGTACAGGTTTGTTACACAGGTAAACTTGTGTCACAGGGGTTGGTTGTACAGATTATTTCATCACTGAAGTATTAAGCCTAATATTCATTAGTTGTTTTTCTTGATCTTCTCCTTTCTCTCACCATCCAAAAGGCCCCAGTGTGTGTTGTTCCCCTCTGTGTGTCAATGTATTATCATTTAGCTCCCACAGAAATATTTATTTATTGCTTAGACAGCGTCTCACTCCACCACCCAAGCTGGGGTGTAGTGGTGTGATCTTAGCTCACTGCAACCTCCACCTCCCAGGTTCAAGTGATTCTCCTGCCTCAGCCTCCCAAGTATCTAGAAGTACAGGCGTGTGCCACCACCCCTGGTTAATTTTTGTATTTTTAGTAGAGACAGGGTTTCACCCACATGTAGGCCAGGCTGGTCTCAAACTCCTTGCTTCAGGTGATCCACCTGCCTGGACCTCACAATGTGCTGGGATTACAGGCATAAGCCATGAGCCTGGCCTCCCGCAAAAGAATTTTTAAATGACACAAAAAATATCCAGGAGATTTCAGGAATATCATATTCAGCAGAATGAAACCCTGGCAGCCAAAGCAAAACTCCTTGGCCAACCGCAGTAGGTAACTCCTGATGCACGGACTTTTGATGAAAAGACTGCCAACAGCTGCTACACTGGAAATGAGGATTCATCTGACAGAATTCCCTGGGAGCAGCAGCCACCCTGGTAAGCCATCTGTCATGAGTTTGGCAAATGAAAACCACTAGAGAAACAAAACCACTATTTACCAAATATAATCAAAACAGAAGGTCTTATTGTTCAGTGAAACAAGACACAACATTTATTAAGGCCTTAAGATTCTGCAGCTTGTTTACTTGATTAGAAAAACAAACAATTGTTTCTTCAATTGTGGCTGTTAATTTTAAAACAAATTATGTATTCAATCATGTATGGGGAGAGAAAAATTCTTATTACTAAAGTATCAGTGAAATTTTATGGAAATAGGTAAAAGTAAAATTTCAGTGATATGGAATATCGAGGGTGAAATATGGCAGTCAATCTTCTGCCTGGCCCTAGCCACACCTACCCATAGGCATCTAACACTATCCTGACAATGAAAGTGGATAATGAAACAGAAAATGTTAGCCCCCAATTCCACCACTGTCTCTTCCTTTGTTTACGCTAGTTGATATGGCCAAATATAGCTTTTTAAACCATTCTGAAAGGTTTCTACTAACCTGTAAAATCGATTAACAAGTCTCTTTCGAATTGTGTAAAGATCAGTTGGATAAGCTACTACAGTACAGTACTTCGGATATGTACACAGATCAACAGGGCCTGCAAAAGCAGCTGCTATATCTGTTAGGAAAGACAGGAAAATTTTTCATCAATAAATCTATTGCCTCTAAGTGGTACTTCTCTACAAACCATTCATAAGATATGGCTACATTTAACATTACAGGCTAAAAAAGATAAATAGAAAGTGTAGGAAAAAAACAAAACCTTAATTATGGTACTATTTTTAAATACCTCTATGAAAGAAATTGAAACCAAAAAAAATTTTCATCCTAAACAAAAAAAAAAACTTACCGAGATTCAAAAGTTGATCTATACCACTGATAATTCTATCGCATTCTTCATCTCGTGATTTCTGACCCCATTCACCAGCTTGTGGTTTATAGAGCAATTTTTCTAGCTCATCTGATGTGACAGAAATACTAGCCCCCAATTCTTCAGGTGGGTCAACTATGAACACCATAAAAAACAAAATGAGGGGGGAAAAAACAACACAAAAAACAAATATATACTGTATGAATATTCGATTTTCAAAGCTTATAAACTAGGTTATCTCCACAGTCAAAAATATCGAGTTCAAATGTGCAACTCTTTTAAAATTACTAATTGAGATTAACAAATTACTAAAATTCAGGTACAAACACAATCTATCTACCCTAACAAATTAAAAATAAGGGTGCTGGTATTGCAGTTTTCAGTCTGTTTCTTCAAGGAGGCAAACTTAACCCCAAAGCCCCCTGAAAACAGAAATTAAACCTGACAATATTCAAAATTTTAATCTTATATACAGTTAAAATTAATTTTTGAAAAGTCAAGTCAAAATGGATTAGCACACAACAAATGGCTAATTTTCTTAAATTTTAAGGGAGCGCAAATGAAAGAAAATTGTATTTTTTTAAAAAATAAAGAGAAGCCAGGCATGGTGGCTCACACGTGTAATCCCAGCATTTTGGGAGGCCAAGTTGGGTGGATCACCTGAGGTCAGGAGTTTGAGACCAGCCTGACCAACATGGCAAAACCCTGTCTCTACTAAAAATACAAAAATTAGCCAGGTGTGGTGGTGCACACCTGTAATCCCAGCTACTCAAGAGACTGAGGCAGGAGAATCACTTGAACCCAGGAGGTGGAGGTTGTAGTGAGCTGAGATTGCACCACTGCACTCCAGCCTGGGTGACAGAGTAAGACGCCATCTCCCCCACCCCACCGCCTCCCACAAAAAAAGAAAGGAAGGAAGGAAGAAGGAGAAAATCTGTGGAAGCTCAATATATTATAGCTTATTGAAATTGAATACTGGCTCTAACATACGGGTAAGAAATGTCATCTACTGTGTACTGGCTATTAGGTTAACTCAGAGCACATTCACAATGAGGGAACAAGGGCATTGGGAAGGGCATCATTTTAACAGCTGCTAAAATGGTAGAGAGAATGTTCATGGGAGCACTTCCTCTAGAAACATCAGTTAAGATTCCTGCAAACATACACACAAGTTTTATATAGTGCATTCTTTGTGAATGCTCTTAACTTTGATTTGATCTATTAGAATTAAGTCATATGATATAGTCTTCTAGCTGAGAGATGCAAATTTCTTAAACATGGATGATAAATAATTCCTATAAGCTTATAATTCATGTTCTTGGAAAAAGAAAAATGATTTCCATTTTATTTTCTGCATGAACATAAAAGAAATGGGTGGGTGGAGATATCCCACTGCCTAATAAGTCAAAATGTATATTTTTATACTCTAATTCAGTTATGCTTTCAATATTTTATTTTATCAAAAGGAAGAGGAAAGATGCTGTATAAGCAGGTAACATAAAGTGCTTTAAAAAAAACACTGGTTTCGGCCGGGCGCGGTGGCTCAAGCCTGTAATCCCAGCACTTTGGGAGGCCGAGGCGGGTGGATCACGAGGTCAAGAGATCGAGACCATCCTGGTCAACATGGTGAAACCCCGTCTCTACTAAAAATACAAAAAATTAGCTGGGCATGGTGGCGCGTGCCTGTAATCCTAGCTACTCGGGAGGCTGAGGCAGGAGAATTGCCTGAGCCCAGGAGGCGGAGGTTGTGGTGAGCCGAGATCGCGCCATTGCACTCCAGCCTGGGTAACAAGAGCGAAACTCCGTCTCAAAAAAAAAAAAAAAAACACTGGTTTATCAAAGCCAGGATATGAGTTTAAATCACATCAATACCACCTAAAAACTATGACTCTGGACAAGGCAGGGGTCGGGGGGGCGGTGTTTTAATGGGGAGAAAGGGGGTCTCACTATGTTGCCTGGGCTGGTCTCAAACTACTGGCCTCAAGCCATGCACCCTGCCTTGGCCTACCAGCAAAGCAGTGACAGTGAAAAGTTTCTATCTCACAGGGTTGTTGAAAGAATTTCATTACAGGTAGAGCACTCAGAAGAGTGCCTAGTACAGAGCAAGTCCCCAACAGTTAACTAGAATTTTTTTGTTTCTGTACCAGAAGAGTAATAGGGACTATATATATCATCCAGGCTGAAACAACAACAACAAACTGGATAGAGAAAACAATGGCTTTTCAGACATCGACCATTTGGCAAAGAACAAGAATCCCAGAGAGACTGAAACCAAATGAGGTGAGCCCTACGATTACAGCACCTTACACTGAAAGAGCAGGCAGGTCATAACATACAGGGGAGAAACTCAAGTGGGGCTAGACAAATTAACTGAGGTGAAGAGACAAAACTGAGAGTCCAGGGAGAACAAGAAAGCTAGAGTTCCCAGAACAAAGCACAATAGACAAGAGAGCTACAAAGGGGTCTCCTCAAATATTCTGGTGAACACCAATCAACCCACATGTGTGAAGAAATGACAGGAAGGCAGGAAAAGAACCAAATGAAAGATTTGTAATAACAAAAGCCTGGTGCACAAAAGGGCCAACAACCATGCCTGTTCCCCGAGTCAGATTCAAAAGCTTCATGATTCATAGAACAGTGGACAGACTGCATAAAAAGGTCTTGCCTCAGAAGTCAGAAGAAAATCAGCTCTAGGCTGAGCACGGCTCCAAACTCATCTGTCCTATCTTAAAAAGATAAAACTGTTTCTGACTAACTTAATTGTGTGACAGAACAAAGTGTAATACTTACAGGAATATAAAAATATACAGCACCCAACAAGGTAAAATTCACAACGTATGATATAAAATTTAAAATTGTAAAGGAGTTAATATATTAGGAAATACCCATAATGAAGAGATTAATCAACCAACCAGAATTAGCATATGTTAGAATTAGCAAAGACATGAATGTAATTATATTCCACATGTTCAATGAAAACATATATAAATGGAAGACATGAAACACACACCCAAATCCAAGTTTTAGAGATGAAAACAAGAATAAGATGACAAGTATAACACACTGGCTGGTGATAAAAGCAAGTAAGACATTCCAAAAGAAAATATAAATGTATGATATAAAAAGATTCAATGCCAAGCATGGTGGCTCACGCCTGTAATCCCAGCACTTTAGAAGACTGATACAGGTGGATCACTTGAGGTCAGGAGTTCAAGACCAGCCCGGACAGCATGGCGAAATCCTGTCTCTACTAAAAATACAAAAATTACCCAAGTGTGGTGGTGCACACCTGTAGTCCCAGCTACTAGGGAAGCTGAGGAAGGAGCAGAGATTGTGCCACTGCACTCCATCCTGAGTAACAGAGTAACACTATGTCTTAAAAAATAAAAAAATTTTAAAAAAAAGCAAAAATGAACATATGTGTTATTATATAAATTTCTGAATTTATATAATCATTGAGGGAAAAAAATAAATCTCTTTTTTTTTTTCATAATATCTATTTAGTACCTAACTTGATGCCCCCCAAACAATGGGCATTCAGAAAATGTGCATGAAATAAGTACGTGATGTGATGTTTTATTATTTATTCTATAAGAGTAGTTAATATTTCACAAAACGAAGCAATAATATTTTCCAAACATAAAACTAAAAAGATGCCTATGGAACAAATTCTACACTATGACATAGTGTAGACACAGCAATAAAAACTGAAGATACAGCAATAAAAATTATCCTAATGAAACAGTAGAAGACAATAAAGCAAAAAAACTAAAACAAAAAAGAAAAGCCCATAAATATAGAGACTGTGTAAGGGAACAGAAGAAAATTATGATATCCAGAACTAATGGATAACACAATTAAAAATGAGGAAAGAATCTTAACGTTTCTCAGCCAGGTGCAGTGGCTCATGCCTATAACTTCACACCACTCTGGGAGGCCAATGCAGGCAAATCACTTGAGGCCAGGAGTTCAAGACTAGTCTGGGCAACATGGCAAAATGCCGTCTCTACTAAAAAAAATACAAAAACTAGCTGGGTGTGGTGGTACATGCCTATAGTACCAGACACTCAGTAGGCTGAGTCATGAGAACCAGTTGAACCTGGAGGCTGCAGTGAGCCAAGATGGTACCACTACACTGCACTCCAACCTGGGCAACAGAGCAAGACTCTGTCTCAAAAAAAAAGGCAGGAGGCAGGGGACGAAGGGAAGGGAGACCGAACATTTCTCCAAAGACATTTTAAATGACCAATAAGCAAAGGAGAAAATGCTGAGTATCATTAGGCATCAGACAAAAACAAATCGCAACAATAATACTTCCTATCACACTAGGAAGGTATAAGTTAAAAAAACAAAAGTGTCCAGGATGTGAAAAAATTGGAACCCACATATAATGCTGCTGTAAATGTAAAACGGTATACCTGCTCTGAAAATCATTTGTCAGCCCTCAAAAGGTTGAACAGAGTTACCATGTAGCCCAGCAATGCCACTCCTAAATACCTACCCAAAAGAAAGAAAAACTTGCACATGATATTCACAGGAGCACTACTCATAGCCAAATAATGAAAGCAACCCAAATGTCCATCACCTGATGAATGGATAAATAAAATGTGCTATATCCATACAATGGAATATTATTCATCAATAACAAGAAATATTTTGGTTTCTAAATGCCATTCTCCAATGAAACAGGCCATGGCCCCTGAAAAACTGCCTGATTCCACAGCTGAGGTAGGGAAAGTACAAGGTGAGCCTTGAACACTGCACAGTGCCAGAAACTATGAAAAAACTCAAAGATGGTTAAAAGAAAATGTCAAATGAACACAGGAGCCAACTAGAAGGGGTTCTCAGTGGCCAAAGCTATAATAAGGTAGCAACAAAATAATAACAGTTAAGCAAAAATCTGAGTACATACTAATATAAATAGATGGGAAAGAAGAAGATGTATTTCATAGTAGAATTCTAACTAATACATGTCAGACAATGAAAACAAAAAATTATGGATGCTACAATTAGTGAGTAGGAGCAGGATAAGAAACAGGATTATTTGCAACATATAAATGTATCCTTATGAGACACCAATTACAAAGGAAAAAGTACTTTACACTGGAGAAGCCTGATACATACCCCCTAAATCAAAGTATTAAAGTTAACACTCAATAAAAAGACAAATTGAACTCGTGTGTCTCCTAAAATGATGCACTAAGAAAGACACGTTTACTTTTCTGACATTCTTGCCAAAAATGCAAAACCTGGATTTAATCAAGAAAAACATTAGACAAACCCAAACTAATGGAAATTCTATAAAATAACTGCCCAGTAATCTTCAAAAGCCTTAAAGTCAGGAATGACAGTGAAAAACTGAGGGATCCCAGATTAAAGGAGACTAAAACAACATGATAATTAAATACAAAATGTGAAAGAACATTAGTGAAACAACAGACAAAATCTGAAAAAAGTCTATAGACAATAGTATCACATTAGTAATAATTTCCTGATTTTTTTTTTTTTTTTTTTTAGACGGAGTTTCACTCATGTTACCCAGGCAGAAGTGCAATGGCACAATCTCAGCTCACCGCAACCTCCGCCTCCTGGGTTCAGGCAATTCTCCTGCCTCAGCCTCCTGAGTAGCTGGGATTACAGGCACGCACCACCATGCCCAGCTAATTTTTTGTATTTTTAGTAGAGACGGGGTTTCACCATGTTGACCAGGATGGTCTCGATCTCTTGACCTCGTGATCCACCCGCCTCGGCCTCCCAAAGTGCTGGGATTACAGGCTTGAGCCATCGCGCCCGGCCTAATTTCCTGATTTTGATCGTTGCATTGTGCTAACTGTATAAGAAGGGAAATCTAGGTATTCAGAAAATCCTTATACTATTTTTGTAACATTTTTAAGTCAGAAATTGTCTCAAAATGAAGTTTTTAAAAGTGCTATAAAAATAATGGAAAGTAAAATTGAAGAAAAATGTCAAAATGCAGATATTCAGAGATTTTCTTGAAAATTATAAATAAAAAGACAAACATCAAAGGATGTTACAAATCAGTAAAAACACTTACACAAAGAAAGCCTGGTGGTTAAAAAAAAAAAAAAATAGAAGCAAGAGATATAGAGTACCCTTTCAAAAAGTTTTGCAGCTGGGCGTGGTGGCTCATACCTGTAATCTCAGCACTTTGGGAGGCCGAGTTGGACAGATCATTTGAGGTCAGGAGTTGAGACCAGCTTGACCTACACAGTGAAACCCAGTCTCTACTAAAATACAAAAATTAGCCAGGCATGGTGGTAGCCACCTGTAATCCCAGCTACTTGGGAGGCTGACGCAGGAGAATTGCTTGAACCCAGTGAGGTTGCGGTGAGCCGAGATTGCGCACTGCACTCAAGCCTGGGCAACAGAGCAAGACTCTCTCTTCAAAAAAAAAAAAGTATCACAAAAGGGAAATAATTCAGTAACAAAAATGCTCAATGAGGTCAAATGTAAAGTATAAGAGACATATTCAAACCTGACTAGAGCAAGGTAAGTGGAAATTAAAACTGTTGGAGGGAATGAGCTAAGTGTAGGTACCAGGCCCTTGGAAGGTAACAGCAGTGGGGCAGTAGCACTGAAGGACAGGCTGGTTTTAAATAGTTGTCTTTTTTTTCACAGGAAAAGAATAGAAAATCCATAATAAGAAACCTTGAGGTTAAGCAGAAGACAAATGTAAGTCAAGTTCGATCTCTTCCTTGAAGGAAAGCCAAGGGTAAAAGATTAAGAATGAGATGGGAAAAATAGAGGCTACATGAAGGATCTAAGTTTTTTGTGTTTTGTTTTTGTTTTTCTGAGACAGAGTCTCTCTCTGTTGCCCAGGCTGTAGTGCTGTGGCCCCGATCTTGGCTCACTGCAACCTCCACCTCCTGGGTTCATGCAATTCTCCTGCCTCAGCCTCCCAAGTAGCTGGGATTATAGGCACATGCCACCATGGCCAGCTAACTTTTTGTATTTTAATAGTTTCATCATGTTGGCCAGGCTGTTCTCGAACTCCTGATCTCAGATGATCAGCCTGCCTCCACCTCCCAAAGTGCTGGGATTACAGGTATGAGCCACAATGCCCAGCCAGGAGTTAAAAGTTTAAAGCAGGGTTACATTAGAAATGACAGCAGGCTATTTAAAGTACAGCCAAAATCAAGCTGGAATCTAAGGTCAAGAATTAACAAAACAGATAAACACGATGCTGTTGTCTTTTCAGTAAAGTTCAGTTGCTATAATAATTTGAATACATTGATCACAGAATACAAATGCATTTGTTCTGTGTACACTGGCAAACACACATATTATAAAAATAAAATGGTTTCACTCTTTAACAAATATATATACCATTATCAGGAATTGGTTCCATGTCCCAAGGGCTAAGTTTTTCAATTTCAGTATTATCCCACCTGTTTAAAAAAAAACAAATCTCTGGTTAGCCTTTCATGAAAACAAAATGTGAGTAACAGGTATCCATTATAAGTAAACAGAAGATACAAAATGTGAAAATTAACCTCACTGCAGCAGTACAATTTTAAATATTAACAGTAAATTTTTTTAAAAAGGATTTATTATTAAAATAACAGGTTTAAAAACAAAACCAGAAATCCTATGTGGCCTGCACCCAAAGTCTAACTCAAAGACAAGGCATGAAGCCTTGAATTCCATCACAGCCACAGTAAATGGTTTTTATTCCATTGCCAATGAAAAGGCATCAAAGGTTTCTTTGAAGAAGGTTAATGACATAATATCTGCTTCTGAACTATGACAGTGACAATATGAGGTAAAGGAAATATGAGGTGGCTACAGAAATAGTTCCAGGGAGGCAAACAGAACCCGATCCAAAGGGAATACTAGCAAATAAGAAACAAAGAGCAGGTGCATGTCTGAGAGACATTTCAGGTCAGACTGACATGACTGAATGACAGATAAAAATCATGTTTTTTTAAAAAATCATTCATACAACAACCTACCACACTGAATTATTTGTATATGATTAGTTTTCATCTGTATACCAACCTAACAACATAACACTGGAAATGACTATCAGGATACTGTGGTTGATATGGCTCTTGACTTAACACTGTTCCAAACCACCAAGCATCATCAATAATAGAGCGGAATCTGTCACCTATGAGAGAAATAATCAAGTCTGAGGCATGTCTTTGCTAACATTTATTAACAGTTTTTAATCTACAAAATATCATATAACACTGATTTAAAAAGCCAAAAGCACAATACAGAAACAGGCAAGCAGACCTTAGAAGGGATTCTTAACAAACCAAGAAAAATATGGATTGAAAAATTTAACTGATAGATTAAATGAATTTCCAGATATATTCTACAGCTCTAACACTTCAACCAGTGAAATAAACTGCACTAGATCTATGTTTAACATTCATTACAATAGAAACATGAACTGCTGTAGTAACCGTATCTCTTCCTTCATACCCTTCCTACCATTTACAAAACTAAACCAATTAAAACAACAATAAAAGTCACCTATCTAGCACTGATGATTCGTTGGTATATAGATCAACAGTTCTATATAAGTTTTATAGAAACGAATCAAAATTAAAGCTACAATTTATCCCCAAGAAAGAATATTTATAACAATATATCTGGCAAATGGTCTTGAATAATTAAAGTATGCTTACAGTGAATTCTTCAAAAGTTTGAAAAAAATGATGCCACAACTACTACAACTACATGTTTTATGGTCTTTAGCATATTTTCAAATTTATGTAAACATGAGTTTTACACATATTTTACTTCAAAATCACTTGAAACCATACCCCCTGAAAGAAATTTAGGGACTATTACAGCTTTAAACTTACAATTTGAGATAAACCACACCATGATTTTGTCCCAACCTCTAATACCCTTATTTAACATAAATATGAATTACAACTGATTGTAATAATTATTGTAATAAAATCAACTGCCTCAATTTTGAGAGTCCTAATATAAAAACATGTTAGAAGAGAGCAAGTCTTTGATACAAAAAATTAACTGTATATTTTTCCTCCTATTCACCTAATACTAGACGATAATTTCAATTTGGATGGAAATATTTCTTCATATAAAACCAACCCCTTTAAATAAAAAAGAGCCTTTAAAAATTAAGTTTTTTCATAATAAAAGTGTCTCTTCTACATTTCTGCTAGCTGTTCACGCTGGTAATCTTAAGATTTTTCAAATAAACCTACTTTAGCCTTTCAAGAGTAGGATAAAAATCCACTGTAAAAATGAAAACAAACAACTTCCTCTTGCCATTCTACTCAAATCCATGCAAAAAGCTAAGATTTTACAGGGAGCAAAAATGAATTACAGTATAATAGATCTGGCTCAATAATTTCTCAACCACAAAAATAAAACAAAAACCACTAAATTACAGGAGGCAACTGGGACTCCATCTCTGGAGTTTAACTGTAGATAATTCAGTTAAAAAATAATTAATGGACATGTTAACAAAAATGAGAGCCACTTACACCTCATGGAGGTTGGAAAATCATAATAGCTGGGAAACTTTACAGTTCTTTGGGACACGACTATACAACCTGCTAATGTTGCTTCATGTTATTTTTGTGGCTGTATGTTTTTCTTCAAGAAAAATTTTCTCTGCATCTACTCCCAAAATAATCCTGATTCCTTGTGTAGATGTTACCAGGAGAATAGTCTATAAAGAGGAGCCACACACCCTGACGATCTTTCATGTCAAATGAGGATGATTAGGAAAGATATCTAAAATTTAACTTCTTGTAGTACCCACAGAAAAAGGCAGCAGTGGCCAGATATGGTGGCTCATGCCTGTAATTCATACACTTTAGGAAGGCTGAGGCAAGAGGATCGCTTGAGCCCAGGAGATCAAAACCAGCCTGGGCAATACGGCAAGACTACATGTCCACAAAAAACTTAAAAATCAGCTGCATATGGTGGTGCACACCTGCGGTCCCAGCTACTCAGGAGGCTGAGGTGGGAGAATCGCTTGAGCCCAGGAAGTTGAGGCTACAGTGAGCTCTGATTGTGCCACTGCCCTTCAGCCTGGGCAACAGAGAAAGACTCTGTGTCCAAAAAAAAGAAAGAAAGAAACTGCAGTAACTAGAATGATCAATGAGGTCTTAACATTATTTATGAATGTGTACACTAGATGACACAGCCTGGATAAAAGAATATTTTTAACAAAAATCCAAGGACTGATAAAAGAATGAACCATCCTACTTCTAACTCAATACATAAGCTCCCAGGATAGCATTACACACTGAACATATATATGTACACCTGTGAAACAGGTACTATAGTTATTACTACCCAGCCTAATTATATTCAAATCCTGAGATTAATGACCTATACAACTCTGAATAAGTGAACCCTCCTTAAACGATCATCACAAAAATCACATTGGAGTAATTCAGTACCTACTACCTACATTAAATTACCTACATTGATGTAATTTTAATTTTTCTGTCCACCTATACATTACATGGTTATAAAGCATAAGTATATATGAAATTTTTATTTCTTAACAAAAGTGTCAAGTCTTCCCATTTAAGTCTACATTGTTATAACGCCAAAGGTAAAATATGTGGGTATATCAGAACATTTTCGGTGTGAAATCTGAAATTACTTTTCAACCTTCTGATCATTTTAGATCCTGGTAAAATTGTGTAAATTATACCAATGTTACATCAAAGATAATTATATACAATATGGTACAGGGAAGTCTGAAAGGAAATAAATCTACTCTAGCCTATAATCAAGGAGTGAAAATAATCTTTTCCAAATGTCATGAACAAAAGAACAAGAGAAAGTCTACATAACTGGGCAGGGCGTGGTGGCTCACGCCTATAATCCCAGCACTTTGAGAGGCAGAAGTGGGTGGATCATGAGGTCAGGTCAGACCAGCCTGGCCAACATGGTGAACCTCTGTCTCTACTAAAAATACATAAATTAGCTGGACGTGGTGGCGCACGCCTGTAATTTCAGCTACTCAACAGGCTGAGGTAGGAGAATCACTTGAGCCTAGGAGGTGGAGGCTGCAGTGAGCTGAGATCATGCCATTGTACTCCAGCCTAGGCTACATAGCAAGACTCTGTCCCCTTCCCCACCATCCCCTCAAAAAAGTCTGCATAATCAGTAAGTACCAAGCCGTAAGCAAAATACACTTATAGGTCACTAGATCTCTTCCAGAATTTACATGTTTGTATACACTATAATTGAGTCCCACAGCCAAAAAGATCAATAAAACATGATATTTTTAAAGATAAACAAAACTTAGTAAGGATAGACTTACAAGACTGCCAATTCCTCTGTCTTGCTTCATCATAAAATTGACGCAGTACAAGAAAGTCAATAACATCTGGCATATCATGGTACCTAAACAAAAATTTTAAAAATTATTAAATTCTACATAGCAAGTTATATAGTCTAAAAGCAATACTGTCCAAAAGAAACACAATGAGATCTACAAATGTAGTTTTTAATTTTCAACCAGCTATATTTTAAAAAGTAAAAACCAGTAAATGTTATGATATATTTTAAATATATCCTCAATATTTCAATATACAATCAAAACAAAATGAGATGTCTTACATATTTTTTTATAGCCATTCTTCAAAACGCAGTGTAGATATTCACAACACACTCAGTTCATTTTTTTCTTCTTTAAAAAATGTTTATGCCTCATACTCTGCCAAGTCTCATATAACACATTCAATTCAAATCATCCACATTTCAAGTGAGCAATAGCCACATGTGACTAGTGGTAACCATATTAGACAGCACAAGTATAGGAAATTATTTATTCTGAACTTTTTCAAAAACAAAGGCAGAAACAATTTTGCCTGTATGTCAAAATTCTCCACCCATGTAAGTGGCATGAAAACCATCTAAAACAGACTGCCCACACTTAACTATTGCTGTGACATGCCTACTGTGACTTCAGGGTTAGGGGAAGGTTTCCTAGCCATTAGAAGCTTGAGCCACATCCTAGGCTGTCCAGTGTTACCCTGGACCTATATAGGAAGGGCATACTAATCATTAAATCAGGAAAATGGCAAATTTAAATTTACATAACTCCATTTTTTAAAATAATACATACCTAATAGAGAAAGACTTGTCCATAAGTTTTCCAGTTGCTGGATCTATAAATGCTAGTTTGAGGCAACAGAGTGTAGGAGGCCCAACTTCATATCGTATTCCAACTATTTTAACCAATTCTTGATCCTTTAACAGATATATTTTTTAAATGGTTAAAATAAAAGCAATTCCTTAATACTGTAATTCTCCATGTATTGTTATATTAAGTAAACTCGTATTTTAGGCTTCAAACCAGCATACAAGTTTAATACCATTAATTACATTCAATTTTGCTAAAATTAATCTCCACATCTTTAATAGTTTCAAGAACATCATCTAGAAATCATACCATAAAAGTAAAAGACTGAAAACACAAATCTCTGATTAGCGCAATATATAAAGAGAACCACTGCTACGAATCTAACACATTTCCTCCTGGCTTTGTTTTGGAAACAGGGTCTCACTCTGTTACCTAGGCTGAAGGGCAGTGGTACAATCACAGCTCACTGCAATCCTGAACTCCTGAGCTCAATCAATTCTCCCACCTCAGCTTTCCAAGTAGCTGGAACTATAGGTACAACACGCCACCATACCAAGCTAATTTTTTATTACTTGTACAGACAGGGTCTCCCTATTTTCCCCAGGCTATTCTCAAACTCCTGGGCTCAAGTGATCCTCCCACAACAGCCTCTCAAAGTGCTGGGATTATAGGTGTGACCTGTCACACCCAGCCAATACACATTTTTATTTATATAGTTTTATATTATGCAGTGAAAATGTATAAACATTTTGCTTATTCATAAGTATACTTCAAAATACTGATATTAAATTTCTGTCTAACATATTCAGTAAGTAATATTTGTTAAGAATCTACCATATGCTATGACCTCTTCTAGGCAGTAGGGACAGGACAGTAAACAGGTGAAAGTCCCGACCTGGATGGAGTATCCATCAAATGGATTTGCCATAGTCAACCTTCCCCCCATTGTCTGCTTCTCTGATACTAGGAATACAACAGATCATTCATCCACTTATTCACTGAACAAATGTTATTATTATAATGTACCAAACAAAGTGCTAGGCATAGTTCTCATTATTCACAGTAGTTATGTTCTATAAAGTCACCTAGAACACTGAAATAAAATACCAAATCATTGCTAGAGAGGAAATATAGGGATAGGTTCCTGCAAGATTCTGGTCAAAACACTGTAGTAAACCAATGCATACATAACCTATTAAATGTGTCTCTGTTTAAAGGTAACTTATTTAATATGTTGATTTGCAAACATTTACCTGAATGAAGCTTGTCTAACATACTTTCTCAGTAAGGCACATCACAGCTTTCTAGTACTTAAGGACACTAAACAGCACATCAGCACTATGGTTAGGGGCCATTTTAAACAGCAAAGTCACCAACAAAAATGGAAAACGTGGCACTGAATAGGCCATGAAAAGGACACTTGTTTGCACTGCAAGAGTTTAAAAAAGAAGGCAGAGCAACACCTTGATCAACCTGAACTAGAAACATGCTCATCAGGCAAGTCAAACTTTTTGCCACCCTGAGCATGTCCAGAAATGACCGGAAGGCTCTGACAGTACTGTTTTGGGGATTAAAAATAACTTACAGCAAGTATGCAGTTCACAAATCAGAATCCAAGAATAATGAGGATTGACTGTACTTAGGTATACAGTCATAAGTTAAACAGACATAAATAAAACTGCAAATGTATATAAAGCCTAACTCATAGAAGCAGAGTCATTAAGTTGAATATAAGTGTTAAAAACAGCTATCTTTGTTAAAATAACTAGTTTTTTCATTTTCTAAGTTTTAAAAGCTATCAAATATGTGTAGAAAAAATATAAAAAATAAAGTCATGGTAATACTACTCCACAGATCATCACCACTGACATTTTGATATTGTTCTTTTGATTGGCTGCAAATGTTTTTAAAATTTTGCTAACATAACCAGAAATAGCATTTCACATCCCTTTTTCCCATTAATAATACACCTGTGAAAATGTAGCCATCATTCACTCAACAAATATTTTCAATCTTCAAAGAACGAGATGTGTTGTACGTAGTAACTGATTGTGTGACTGCACCATGATTTGATTTATTCACTACTGTGGAAAGCTGAATTTTTTTTTTCCAATTTTATTTCTACAAACAGTGAGTGAACTACCATACTCATATATTTACAAGCATTTCTGCTTGTTTTCCAAATTACCATAGCAGTAAAATCACCGACTTAAAAGTTCCAAATATTTTTCAGTTTCAACTCCTATTGCCAAAATAGCCCCTAGAAAGCCTGGACCACTTCACACACCCCACCAGTGATCTGACTAACTGTTAACCAACATCTTTGCCACTTGCTAAACGTGGTATTTTCTTTCTTGAGCTAAAACAAACAAACGAAATCATAAAATTGGCTAAGTATTGATAAGGCAAAATTATTATTGCCTTATTTTATTATCCATGAGGTTATATCCTTCTTCCAACTTTTATTTCTTCTTTTGGAAACTTGTATTTCTTCCTTTGAAAATCTCTCCTGGGTATATAAACATTTTTAAGATTGATAATATATACTGCTAAGCTGCCTTCCTGAGACTCTGGGTTGTTGCATTTAACATTTTACATACCAATCAGCAACATACAAATTTTGCCCACTGACAAACAAGCCATCCCCACAGGATCTTAAGGTTTGGTCATAGCAGAAATGTTAAGTAGGAAAGAATGTAATAAAATATGTTTCCAGCAGGTTTTTTTTTTTTTTTTTGACACAGAGTTTCGCTCTTGTTACCCAGGCTGGAGTGCAATGGCACGATCTCGGCTCACCGCAACCTCTGCCTCCTGGATTCAGGCAATTCTCCTGCCTCAGCCTCCTGAGTAGCGGGGATTACAGGCAAGTGCCACCATGCCCAGCTAATTTTTTTGTATTTTTAGTAGACACGGGGTTTCACCATGTTGACCAGGATGGTCTCGATCTCTTGACCTTGTGATCCACCCGCCTCGGCCTCCCAAAGTGCTGGGATTACAGGCTTGAGCCACCGCGCCCGGCCTCCAGCAGGTTTTTATATAGATCTGTAAATAACTATATATGTGCTAAAATGTTTAACGATTTAATAATGTCATCAACCTACCCTAAGATCCATTTTTCTCCATGGCTCCTTATTAGGGTTCAGTTCATAAATGTTATTTCTTCTCACAGCCTCAATATAAGCTTCATGACCCTGTCGAAAATATATAACCTACAAAAGGGAAATATGCATTTAAAAATTAAGAGCAATGTAAATTTTATGTTCCACATTCATGTTCTTAAATTTTTATTACTCTCACCTCATCACCCATTTGAGGAACAAAAGGAGATTTTCTAAGTGTGGTGTCAGTAATCCAAACTGGAGGATGAAATTCATATAAATGTTCCATATTTGCAAGCTCTGCTGGAGTCATCCTCCGCAAATTCTACCAAGGGGAAGAAAATAAAATTTCTCAGATTAGAAAGGGGCAGCATGCACTGTTTGAATGAAAAATAAAAGAAACATCACCATTCGGAATGACTATTTTTGCCACGTCCATCTAATGTTAACTTTCTTCACAGCATGTACATTTAGTTCCTTGACATACACAGGAATATATCACTTATTAAAAGCATTGTAAATCTACCTAACATTTTCCTAGTATCATCTCCTAAATTTCTGATAGATTCTTCATGCCATTTTGCATCCAATTATAGAGGGCTAACACCTAACCTAAATCCTCTTTTACGCATAGCCTGTTCTGCCAAGACTCCACTCTTGAGCTTGGGCACAGGTTAATCATCACAAGCCAGTCTCCTCTTGATTTTAGGTTGTAAGACTGGTGATTTCAAAATATGCCCACAAATTCCCCAATAGTTCTCCCCTCTTCAAGAAGTGGAAATCTTCTCCTCTTAAGTATGGACTACACTTAATGACTCACTTCTGCCAAATATAATAAAGCAGATGAGACTATGTACAACTTCTAAGACTAGGTCATAAATGGCACTGGGGCTTATCCCTTGCTATTGTTAGATCCTTCATTGAGGAAAATCATAATGACACTTCAAGCAGCCAGCTAAGGAGAGGCCTGTGTGGCAAAGAACTGAGGCCAATAGCCATAGGATAAGCTCGGAAGAATATCTCCCAACCCCCATCAAGTCCTCAGATGACCGCAACCCCAGTCAACATGTTGTAACCTCATGAGCCAAAATCACTCAACTAATCGCCTTTCCAATTCCTGTTCCACTAATACATGAAATATTCAATGTTTGCCATGTAAACACCTAAATTTTAGGGTGATTTGTTATACACAGCAATAGATAAATACTAAGACTTAACATCTTTAAACAATGAATACCTGAGATCAGCACAGTATATACAAATAAACAGGAATGACATTACAAGGAAGAGACAAGCATGAAGACAGACATGTAAAATGAAAATGGTAAATGTGGCAATAACACACACACACACACACA